TTTTACAGGAAATTAAGCAAAACCCCATGCTAATGAATATATTGTTTCCAATAAATTTCCAAAAATAGTAATACAGATTAGATTAGTATTATGTGTTAATTAAAGTTAGTCTACTAAATTGAAATGGTCCCATTGAATTAAGTAAAGTAAGTTATGATTCTTTAAAATTTCAAATTCATTTTCTTTGAGAAAGATCATGCGTTCCAGGTTCATTTGTTTTTCCATAAATATCTGTGATACTTATCTTGACAGGAGCATAGATAGTTAAAGTATAATCTTTTACATCTTTTCTTCACCAATCTACTTGTATATCGACCTTATATTTACCAGCAGGTAAAGGAGATGTTGGGAAAGATACCACAGATTGAATATCAAAATAATTTTTAGTTATGCTTTGATGCAAAACTTTTGCAGCTCCTGATGATCTTAGGGTAACAGTAGCTTTAAATTAGAGTGGAGAATCTCTACAGGAAATAGGATACATGTTAGGATTATAGAAATCAATTTTGATGTCAAGATTTTGAGGAGAATCTAGAGAAAAGAAATAATAACCCACGTTTCCAAGATCTCCTATTTAAGAGTACCATGAGAATTTCCAGCTAGGTCTATAAGCTCCAACTTACACAAAACCAAAAGCAGTGATAAATTCTTAGTCTTCTATCCAGAAAACTCCATCATCTTTCTTGTCTAATTTAGCTTGCTTAGTATACGTCTCAGTTGACTTTGTCCATAAAGCGGAATCATCATTCCATTTACCTTAAAACTTTCCATCAGTTTTTTAAATGCTCTTTAGTTGAATAAGATTAATGTCTTTAGCAAAATTTTGTTTTTAATCAAGAGCTACTGTATTTATAATTGCATATGTTTAACCACAAATAAGATTTAAAGGGCAGATTTTACTTTTTAAAGTCTGAGCTGTTATTATATAGTTCTAATCATTAGCTGAATCAATTATCTCAAAGATAGAAGATGCCTAATAATTAGCAGTATTGTATGTTGTAATGGGAACATTTGTTAGATAACTTATAATATCAGATGCATTTCCATCGAGGCCAACTTATTCATAGTTGCCAAGAGTCTTTGCCCAAGCTTTTTCAAGTAATGGTACCCAATAAGAGCCGTCAGAACCTATGTCCGCAAAGATTAAATCATTTTTGAGATTATCATAAGGAACATTATCATTGATAACTTGTATAGTTGGAATCCCTCTCACCCAGATATTGAATCCATAAGCTCCGGCTAAGTTTTTCTACGTATTGACAAAGACTTTCTTAAATCTTTCTTCATCTTTTGCAACAGCAATGGCACCTCCTAATACGTAACCATCATTTAAAATTCCCATATCTACATCACTAAGATAGTTTTAAGAACCAAATAGAGAACCAGTAGGGAATGCTTGACCTAATTTAACCCATTTTGCATTCTTATAATTGTTTAGTGTATCAGCTGAAAATTGCTTTACCCATTGAATAGAGGTAGAATCTGCGGGAAATTGAGTATCAACCCATTCTGTTTTTGCAGAGTTGAATATCGATTGATATTGGTCAGGACCTGCTTTCCATCTATCGATAGCAGTTGTGCAAGAGAATTTTCCATTTTATCCTGAATTTAACTCTGCTAGAGTTTTTTGCAGAAAGTTTTTATTAGATTGGAGCGATGAACCAATAAGTAGAGTAAGAGTTGTTATAGATATCATTATCATTACAATGTTGAGATTATTCCTAAAGATTAGAATAGAAAACTTGATAGTGATGATTAGTGTTTATAAATTATTGAAGTTTTATTATTAAAAATTATTTTTAATTAATTATGATAGGTGAGAGAGGGTTTTAATTTCTCTACTTTAAACATATTACCAATTTAATTATTTAAGGAGTCTCCATAGACATTAAGCTCTCATTATCTTAGAGAGTAGTCATGCGCTCCAATTTCATTTGACTAACCCTTACTATCGGTAATGGTTATCTTTTTAGCAGAGTAAATTGAGAGAGTATAATCTTTAACATCTTTGTCAGTCCATTAAACTTGAATTTCAATCCTGTACTTGCCGGCTGCCACTGGTGATGAGCTCTGATTGATATAGCCATTTCTATCTGAATCTGTAATCTCCTTTGATTGTAGAACCTTGTTACTTCCTACTTGGATTAGTTATAATTAACCTCCAGATATTTCTTCTCCTCTACAGTCATATCCGTACATCTTTGGATTATAAAACTCTACTTTGATATCCAATAAGGTTGGTGCATCTAATGTAATGAAGTATTGAGAAGTTTCTCCATCATCATTAAGTTTTTCGTACCAAGAGTGTTTCCAGCCAGGTCTATAATATCCGATTTCAAATTAGTCAAATGCTTTAAGAACTTCAAAATCTTCCATCCACATAAGCCCATCATCTTTCTTTTCAAGATTAACTTATTTGGCAAATGTTTAACCCGGAGTGCTCCAAATTTTTGCATTATCGTTCCATTTACCATTGAAATCTTAATCTGCTCTCCAGGGATTTCTTACTTGTACTAGCTTGTATTACTACTTGCCATCAGCACTCTTGACTATTGTTGAATCAATCAAAGTGTATGCGTGACCACAAGGCAGGTTATATAGGCATATATCTTTATCACTCCCACCAGGGGTTCCGATCGTCATTATGAAGTTTTTGTCATCAGCTGAGTTTAAGATCTCAAACATTGAAGCAGCGTTAAGATCTTTTGTATCAAATATCTCTGAGGGAGCATTTGTAAGATAGTTTACAACCTCTGATTAAGATCCACCGAGACCTGCAATCTCATAGTTTCCAACAGTCTTAGCCCATGATTTTTCTAGAAGTGGCCCCCAAAGAGCACCATCTTCTCCGACTCCAGCCATTATGTATTCTTTTTGCTTTTTATCGTAGGGAACACTGTCATCAATGATTTGAACAAAAGGAATTCCTCTAACCCAAACATTAAATCCATAGATTCCAGCGTTGTTTTTTTCGAGTGAGACAAAATTTTATTTGAACCTTTCATTATCTTCTGCAACAGCAGCAGAACCAGATAGCATGTAACAGTCTCCTATGTTACCTTGAACGATGTCATTGATATACCCAGAAGTACCGAAAAGTGTACTCTTAGGATTTAATTAACCTAGTCTTTCCCATGATGCTGACTTATAACCTGTTAACTCATTGGCAGTCAAGGGTTAAGGCCAGGCAATAGCATCTTCGTTTGGCTGGAATTATTAATCGATCCAGTTAGCTGGTTAAGTTTTGAAAATGCTCTTATAATCTCCAGGGCCTGATTTCCATCTCTCAATAGCTGATGTGCAGCTAAACTTAGATTATTATTTGTTTACTTTGAAAGGATTTTTGATTTTAAAGTGAGATTTTACTCCAATAGTAGAGCTAAACAAGAGAGCTAATACAGTTAGCGAGATTAGATTCATTTAATTTGAATTTGAATTTGTATTTAAGAAATGATCAACGAACCACTATTTATAATGCGCGGGGTTTTGGGGTTTTGGGGGGATCGGAAGAGCA